TTTAAAACACTTCCACCTTGTAATTAATAGTTTTCACTTTAATTTATCCGTGACCGAGAGAATTTCAGTTCGAGACACTACGCTTGTTCACCTGCGATCCATCAACCTGCAATTAAGTGGAAATTGATGTATTATTAAATAGCAATTACACGGTACGATATAACAATATAATAGCGTGAAACTGGCTCCTCGAGGACCAGGGATGGATCAGTCGTTAAAAATGCCTGTCACTTCGCGACAAGTTCGGGAAAAGTAGCGAGAGCGAGATCCGATTATCGGTCATTTACGTTAAAGTACACGCTCCGTACGCGTCTCGCGTGACAGGTGACTGGACATACCTACCTTGTGATCGAATTTGACTGATGGAGGGAGACACGCTGCTGGGCATCGTTTACTTTTTTCCTGATGATCTTGTCCCCGTGTATTCTTATCGCGTTGCGATTTCTCTTTTTCGAGATGATTTACGCAGTCGTTGAATATTTTTTACGCATAATGTTACGACAAGCGTTGCACGTGACACTGAAATTAAGTTCGAGATGTAAATTAAAAATTACGATATTTTGGAGAAAATAATAGTAATTCGGATAAAGTAATCTAATTAAAGATATAGTTATATGGAAGTATGTTATAAATAACATAAGTTTAGAAATGGCGTCCGCCATTCTTTATCTGATCGTTAATCCAAGACCATAAAGACCATAAAGTCTTGATTTCCGATTTTACATAGTATTCTTCAACGCTATTTTTTCTTCTTCTTCTTCTTTCCCCCCTTTTGTTCCTTTTTTGCATCTCACTAAATGTTTTTTCACGCCGGTATCTGCAGCAATAGAAAGTTTTTTCCATCATTTCCTTTGCAGCCCGAGGAAACCCTCGTCGAAAAATCCCTTGGCAGCTGTTCACCCTCGGCACGGAAGTGATCCCGAGCTATCGGCTTCTCCGGCGCATGAAAAAACGGAAAGGGAGGCCAACGAACGCGTTCAGAAAAAATTGATTTTACCGGGGTTGGAGAAAATCCGGTCGTGGCACGCTTCCTCGTCGTCGCCTTTAAACCGATTAAGAACAGCCAGCCAAATCAATTCATTCGCAATGTCAATTTCTTCCTTTATCCCTTGACTTTCAAAAGTTACGAATAAATTCCAAAAAGGTTGAACATATTAGAGATTCTAATATTATAATTCCAATCTATAATTTCCGCCCATATCTTATCTGAAACAAAATTATTTTGAGGTTATAGTCGGTCCAAGCAAGTTAGAAGGAAGAATGGCTTAAGTCGAATATAGTCGTTATTTTATATGATCTCGACAGCAGAATGTAAAACATCGCTGATAAATTAATCTCACTCTCTACATTGGTCACGTTTTGTCGCGGCCTGCTTTCTCATCGAAGATACAACAGTGGTATCCAGTGTGATGTTACGTAGATTTCATTCAAAATATTGCACTCTCCGAGAGCAAGAAAGTAAGAACGATGATGGACAGCGACAGTGGCATGTAACTTGGCACGTGGCACCTGCCGGCACCGTTATTGGCCTCGTTAATGCGACAGTTCTCGGTATTGTAACGAATCGAGAACATTTTCCAAAACGGGTAGAACCTCGGTCTTCCGATCCAATGTTTTTTCTTGAATTCATCTCCGAATATAGAGAAATTTATGCGTAGCTGTCAGGAGGACAAGCAGATTCATACAATCAGATAATTTAATGGAAACGAGCTTAATTTTTCTTTGTTTCAACAAATTCTGAAATTTTTATAAATTTTTATAAATTTATTTCAAATTGCTAATTGTTAATTAATATAATTTAATGTATTAAATAATATTTTATAATTTGTACAGAAGATACATTAATATAATACTTGAGAAGTATATTTTATATTATTATAATATCTTGAGAGTATATAGGTATATTGATTTAGAGGGATAATTGTTGATTCTTCCAATTATCTCCGATGACAACCTGGTTTTAGTTTTGAATCAACAGTAAGCTTTAATCTCCGAGTAAATTAAGAAATCAATTTGTGAATTATTATTCTTTGTGCGAATTGTTTGATATTTTAAAATGCTATCTTTCAATGCAGATTTTTCGTATGAAAATTATATTCAAAGTATGCAAAGAAATATATAGATTGTTATATGAGCAACGAAGATTGGAAACGTTGTGCAAGAGTAATTTGTTAATAGAGAGGCGTCTATTCTTTCCTTCTTAAAAATACAACGTAGGGGAATTGCGGTTGATTAAGATTATATCCAGTGATGAAGCAATTCGCAGTTATAGATGTCTTAAAGATAGTGCTTAATGATCGCTCGTTAAAGATGTTCTATCAACGAGTCTACCTGCAGAAATGATCGAGGAAAAAACCGACTCTGTAATTTAAACAGTAATCAACTTTCTTCTCTTTCGTTTGACAGTGAACTGAACACTTTGTTGATTATATGTAAGAAAAGCTTTGCGCATTTTTAACTTTCAGACAAACGTTATTCACGCCTACGACTTATTCCAACGTTAAATATCCTTTTAATTCCTGTTATTATTTAAGAAATCTTTGCAATCTTATTATTCAGAAATTTTTTTCAAGGTAAAAATATTTTATTTCTTTTATTTTCAATCCTTTGTTGCCAGTATTATTATTAAGACATTCTTATTTAACTTATAAATATTTACGTCTGATACATGCTCAAGCAACTATTAAATAGTATCCAATTAACATTCTTGTAATTTTAAATTCTTTTTTTCAATCAACTCAATTTTAACACTTCACACATTTAATATTCCAATTCTTATTTAATAATAATTTTTATACATATGTATTACTTTCAATTAAAATTCTTGTAAATCAATGTTTCATATTTCATTTCTTTTAATTCTTAAATTTAATATATCTATTATCCTAATTATTTAATACTCTGGTATTTAAAACTTTCTTTTCCATTAATATTTATATTCAGTACATTTATATCCCAATTATCATTTGTGTAACTTAAGATTAAGTCCAAATTCTATTCTTTCAATCAATATCTTCTTAAATATCCATTAATCCTCCACAAGTTTTTTCATTTTAATCATTATTGTATATTGATCAGTTGCCAATCCTCGATTTAAAATCCAGATCGCGAAAATCCAAGAATCTAGAAAAATCGACAAATCTTATACGATGCAGCCGGCTTCTTTAGCAGGTATAGGGCATTTATTTACAGTAAGATAGATATTCACGACAAAAGCATGTTTAAATTGCTGGTGCCGTGCCAGATGTAGTGTGCATCACAGAGAGGAATCCGAGGGTGGAGATTGAAACGGAGACGAGTAAAGAGATTCACTGTACTGCTTTCAACCGTCGAGAGATTAGCAAGCCCTACACAAACCTGCGAACACCTTTTTCGCCTGATTTCGATGCAGTAAGGTGACACCTGCATATATAAAGTGAACATTTAGTGATCTTCAATAATGATCCAAATAAATCGTAATTTATAAATATTATATAAAAATTAATAATATTTTTATTTAATATATACATACTTATTTTTTTATTTATTTATTATTATTTTTTTAATTATATTCTCTTTATCATTTTTTTGAAGAAAATATTTCGTCAAATGAAAAAATTCATCAATCAAGAGAATTATAAATAATCTTTTTAATATTTTTTATCTGTAAACAGACAAATTAAATTAAATAAAAATTAATATTATATTAAATTTTGTATAATTTATCAGTATGCAATAATGCAATAAATATCAATAATGTTATACGTAATATTTTTACCTTGATATTCTAACGTTTAATATAATTTAATAATTTGGTATTCTTGGAATCTTTTATGATAGGGGAAAGAAGATTCGAGGGCGAGATTTGCGGTAGCTTGATTTCATAAGGGTAATAAAATCTTTCAGGGCAATCAAGGTAAGGGAGGCCACATTAAGGGAGGAACCTCGATCGGAAATCCGAGTTCCTCCTTACCTTCACTCTACATCTGGCATGATCGAGCTGCGACCAGGAAGACCCTCTTCTTTCCACTCTCTCTTTCTCTCACGAATTCCTGAAAGAGACAGGAAAAATAATTGGAACTCATCATAAAATATCGTCATATTTATCGTCCATTAATTTTCTTAAAAAGACTAAATTTCAATACAATCATATATTATTAATCACCAAAAATATGCATAAATAAGATTATACGTACATATATGAAAATATTAATAAATATGTAACGACATCATTATCATAATAATTTTGTGAATAATTTCTTATTAATATAATATTTTCCAATATGTTTTTACCTTTACGATTAATAAATTTTTTCATTAAATAAAAAATAATATTCCAGAGAAAAGAAAATAAGCACATAAGTTGCGAACATAGAGTTGTCTTTCATATATTAAAAAAAAAAAATGTCTTTACGCTTCAACTCCCACTCGAGACTTTCGAATCCGAGATGGGCTACGCCCCCCTCCCCCTCCCCTCAGATCATTGTACCGCTTCACAATGGAACCACGTCGTGCATGACGAGCTTAAGATCGCGACGGATTTCCTCCTCGCAAGATACAAAGGATCATCGAGGAGGAAGAGAAAACCTGGGAGGTGGTATCGAGCACGTGCGCGATCTGTAAAGATCGAAAGTCGCCGTGGGGGATGGATGGGAGAGGTGACTGGTGGCACGAGGACCTCGAGACATAATGGAAAAACTGCATCTGCATTGGAAGGAGAAGAAAAGGAGAATCGGTGGAAGGAAAACCGGTGTCAACCTTAAAGAATCTTGCTCTATAAAGAATATTTGCCATTGAACGTTCCTTATGTTGAAGTACTCGCATCTGCCATTCTGTATAAAAGATAAAAATATAATTTCAACTTGTCTTCTATAATTTTGAATAATTTAATAAATAAGAATATGCATAATTACAGTAGAATTAAAGTAAGAATTGAAGTAGATTTGTTGCAATTCTTTTGGTATTATTGAGACACTCCATTAAAAATTCTGAAAAACATATATATATATTTTACTTTTCATTCTGAAAAATAATTCAACTATAATAATATTAGATAAGAGTATATGTATATATATATATATATATAAATTTATATCTTCCTCTTAATAAGAAAATTTCAAAAGAATAGATCCTGTCAACCTACCATCTGCAAAGTTGCCACTAGGAAACTGGTGGTAGCACAGTACCACGTGCCATCGTTAAGAAAATTGATCAGGCCAAACCTCCTAGACCACCTTTCTCCCACCGTCTGCCAACCACCTTTTCCAAGTGAAAAATCAACGTGACAACTGTTCCACCGACTGTTCCTCCTCTTTTCCAGATCTGGAAGATCCATGCAGCATCTGTGAAAACTGAAAGGAAACCGCTCTCGCGGAGGAGGGAGGGTCTGAGGAAGGAAAGTAGATGGTCTGAGAATTAAGCTTAGGAGAAGGAGAAAGGAAAAGCCGGTGGAGGGGGAAGTCGGGCGCGTGGTGAAGTAGGTGGTAGGTGAAAAAAGCATAGGAAAGAAGAAACTGACTGACTGGTTGTTAGAAGATGGCCTGTTGCCTGCGAGTCGGTGGTTCTCTTGTACTCCTGGGAACCTAGCGGCAGATGTTCTTTCGGACTCGATTGGCGCGTGCCCGCTGCCACTTGGCTGCGAAGAAGACGCTACCATCTGCCCCTTCTTCGTTTTCCCCTTCGACCTCACCCTCCTTCACCTTCTTTCCTTTACTCATACGGCCTAATACCACCGTGAGTGAGAGAATACGCGGTTGCACTGATACGGTATATATGGTGTATCTGTTTTCGAACAAGATATCACCGATTCCTTCTTTTTTTTTTTTTTTTTTCCAGAGTCCTCAGATAGCAACTATTCCGCAAAATGCACTCAGATAAAAAAGACGGCACGCGTCCCTTTGGTTGTTTTGTAGAAAAACTGCGAGAGGGTGCACCAGAGTTAGGGGAAGATAAATTTTCAATGTATATATCTGTGGTGTCGTTTGTGGATAGAAAAAGAATAGAGATTTGTCCTTAACGGTATTAAGAATGTTTGAAGAATTGTTGGAGAAAATGTATAATAAGGAAAATTGAACA